GGGGGGGTCGAAGTAGAAATCGATAAACCTATGCCCATGCCGTCTTGTCATGCAGCGGAACGAGACCTATAAAACAGGTGTTGTTGTGCCTTTAGATAATAGCTGCGCTGCCAGCTTGAATTAATGCTTTCGCAATAGAAGCAATGAAATACTCTTTCACATACTTAATAGCATTTTCTCAGACTAAACATTGGCATGCACAAGAATCAGGACATATAAAATTTGAAAACCAAATAAAAGTGTTCTTAGGCGCACTTCACTAAAGGTGAAATACTAACTTGAAGCACTGTGCGTCCGCACTATAAGGTACTGTCAACATCGTGAGGTCGGGTAATTGTTTTAAATGTCAAAAATAACCTACCTTCACGTCGCCTGCAAAAATGAAGAAAAAATGTTCTTTTGCTTTCAGTGGGAAAATACTACAGACTGACGGTGTTTTTCCCTGAAATAAAGGGTACTAGGGAAATCTACATTGTGGCTGATCATCCAAGCAAAACAAATGAAAAGTACTGGCTGAGGATTGAACATATTTCTGCCGCATTGTCGACTAATCGTACGTCCTGCCGAGTGCGCAATACTGATATACTAGTGTATTTGTATACTGATTCGTCTTAGCGTTTCATTTCAGAACATAAGTTCCTGTACTTCTTAGGCCGCAAAAAGTAGGAATCTTTCTGCCACAGAATTGATAGTAGTCAATTTAAAAAAACGATTAAGTAAAAATTAACAGCAGAGCAGAGATATCTTTGCTATCCTAAAGAAGCAACCCTTTGTTAGTCACCTCGGCCACTTTCCAGTAAAAATAATTTACAGCGTTTCAAACAGAATATTTCAAGTTATCTGATGCAATACTTCACTTTTAAAGGAATCTTTGGCTATGAAAATGTCAGGCTGCCAAATATATCCGAAAATGAGACAAAGGTGGAACTGGTCTGGCCGTTGCCATTTGCGGTAGATGTTTCAGGAGTAAGTAACAACCACAACATTTTCCTCCCGCTTTTCCACACGATGTACCGGATTCCTCATTATATACTGCTGTTACGGACTTAAGTATAGCATGCGCAGAAATGCCCTAAATTTCCTCCTTTTTGATGCTTTTAATACATCCCCTAGGAGGCTGTTGTGAATTACGCGTAAAACAAAATTCATAGAGGATAAAAATACCCAATGGTTCACACTGATATGTAGCGACTATTGACAGCGTGAAGTAATTGAAAGAATTTACCGGAACAGAGTTTGAAAACGTTTCTCACTAGTAAAGTTTTGGATGAAGGGTAAGTGTTTTCGCTAGTGAACACTCAACATGTTCGTTCGAATGACACGAAGGAATGGGAGATTGACGCTCACTGATCGTTTATATGGAACTCTATTGTCCCGCCGTGCCTATTGTGCTTTCTCGATCTCAATCGGCGGCCGCACAGCTGCGCCATGCAGAACGCTATTAGCGATAAAGACCAGAGTGACTGGAATGATGAGTGCCATTGAATAATCCCGACCGGGACCGACAAGAAACCGAGCCCATGACTCAGTGACTAGGACCGTTAGAATCTAGCTAACAGGTCGCGAGTTGGAGCCCAGGTGCTCCACACATTGTGGCTGGGTTTGACTGTATGACTACGGCTAATTATCACAAAGTGGCCATTCTAGTCTCTATTTCTGCGAAAGGAAACAAATTTATATGGCTTCTGTGTCGCACAGCTAATGTTTGGCCAATATTTTCATCGGAAACGATAAGGAGCCATCGGTGTACAACAGGAAAGGGTCGGAGAATTGCATCAACATCCAGCGGGCATGCTGACAATGTTTCACAAAAAATTACAACAAAAACCCTAGAAGTCTGTTAGGGTTTATACAAATGACCTATGATAAACTATGAATGACAGCGTTGGCGTCCACTGCAGGAAGTAATAAAATTCTCCATGTGGTTAGTTGAAGTGAACCACCGGCAACGTTGTTGTATGTATAATTTTCTGTATTATTTTCCTGTTTTGTGCCCCATGTCTCTGTGAGACATACAACAAATTTGTTTTGCAGACAGCAAATAATGGTAGAAAAACCTCCAATACTAATGTTTTTTTCCTAATTTCAGTTTCGTTGCTTCTCAGTTAGCCGGGTGATTTGTGGAGATGCAGACCCTTGCGGTGGGTTATTTTGTTAAAATGTGTGGGCTTTTTTATTACTTTGCGCCGGTTTTTGTCGTTGAATTACCACATGCATTGGTTTAATCTGCTTTTACATGATCTAGTTTTGAAAAAGGAACACAACCGCACGGTTATGGGATATGGAGCAAAACAAGGCGAAGAAAGAATGTCGTTTTATACGTGCGAATATCGGAAGAATGATCAGTACGACATGGTCTCCTACCGACATCACTGGTCCGGTAAGTGTAGCCTCTCAGTCGGTTGAATGATTAATATGCGAAAAGGCCGCATCTAAACCGACAGTGGACAGATCGCAAGTCAGCCTAGGCATACGGCGCCTGATGCAAATTTATACTTAAAATAAATTTTATCCTTGTAGGTTTGGATGACTTTCTGGGTAAAAACAACGCGTGGCAATCCGCATCGGCTGTGATTGAACTAAAGTGGCTTCTAAATTACAGGGGTTCGTCGGAAAAACAGGTATGATCTACCAGTTTCTCTCAACGGGCTTTATGTCTTTGCCGTCGCCGCAGAGAATATCTTGGCTTAGAGGCATGCGTGTGCGCCGGTTCTGGCAAAAATAACGCTTTTTCGTGTTGATTTGGGTAGCGTGCGCTTTGAGCTGCTTACATGGGTGAAGGAACCACGGAAGTAGAACTCAAATTAAGCACTTTCTTTCCAAACAAAGACTGCTAAGTTGGACCGAAATATTCAATATATTTTATTTTCCCTGCGGGTGAAGCCATTCTCCATCGTCTGGGTAATACACGGAGTGGGCGTTTAGGAAACCAATGGCTCTTCACAGATCGAGTCATTGTTTCACTTTTCATAGGATATGAATTGGTGCTCGAAAATCCATATTTCATCGACCGAAACAAATGCTAACCTGGGGAAACAATGTCTGTTGAACACAACGGGTGGGGTGGGGCTTCTCAGAGAAACAATTTTAGAGTTTTCACCACTCTTTGTGCAATATAGGGCATAGAGTTTTCATGTTGATAAATAAACTTACCATATATTTCGTCATATGCTGACTGTCATTTGGCTGATTTTTTTTTAAATTGCTATCTATATGCTCCAACAGTAACCGTTTGAGATTGCTTTAGCAAATCCGGCTACACCACTTCTTTTTGGTCCCGATATTTGTGCAGGACAATTTTACTTCATTGAATACCCTGCTCTAGCATTTTTGTCTATCATCGACCGGACGTCGTTCAAGGTAAGTTGCCCTAAGAATTATCGCAACAGATCTATGTTTGTCACCAGTCATGCGGAACTACTTGCATGCACGTTCTGGAGGAAATATTTCGCATGTAATCTTTCTATCGACCCAGCATATGTGTTTATCTGGAGTGGTTACCGTTTACAGCGCATGGAAACATCACCAGTCAAACCCGTTAAAATGAATAATAGAGAGTTAGAGTCCCTATTTACTGATAGGGTTTAAGTAGAGAGAATGGAGGTGGCTTGGATGTTTGTGACTGGGTTAGTTGTAGCTTGCAAGTTTGAACACTAATCGGGACGCGATAAAGTCTAGTGATCAATGATGCGGCTGGTTCTTCATCCATATCAAAGGCCTGCCTCCCTAAAATCACTGCCGCTGGCTGGATCATTTGGATCCGGTGTGGAGAAACCCCATCACGGGCTTTGCGTGAAGTGTGCCTTTCAGAGTTTGGAGGTTCAGAATTAGAGAGCTCTACAATCATACGCAGAATCAAGGCAGAACACGGTCTGCTGTGCGGAGACCTGGTCGTGTGTGGCAAGCCTGGACATGATGTTTATTATTTCCAACCACAGCACCCGGATCGGACATCTGTCGACATGACATGGTTTGGCCGCTGGTAGAGGAAGAAGAGCGTACGGCGGTGGGCTGCGCCAGTGTGTCGGCACTATAATCTGGTTAGTTCACCCGCTAGTCAACATCCTGTACTTACCACATGATGATCGATCTGTCAGTGGCAAATGCTTATCAAACAGGAACCCAGTGTGCTCCCGTCCCTAAACGATGCTCTGTTTACATCCGTTCTCCAAGCACTGACCTCAAGCGGCGCAGAAGTTCATGTTGAAACTAAGCAAGTTCAGATATAATGAAAAAGAGAAGGCTCTTCGGAATATTGAGTTGTAGTCGTAAACTTTCAAGTTGGTGGCGCCGACCCGTCGTCAGACGAAAGAAACAGACTAGGTCGGCTGGCGCGACAGCACAGACAACGACAAACGGACAGTTGATGCGTGAGAGGGGTGGGCACCGAGTTATGGTAGGCTGTCGGGCAGGGGGACGGAAGGAAGAACAGTTGGGGCTCCCTGTGTTGGAAGAGGAGAAAAACACTGTGGATTACAGATCAGTGGGGGTGCGGGCGGCTCGTCACTGATGCGGGATGAAGTCAGGGGCTATGCTCAGGCGTTGAACGTGTTAGGGGTTTCGTTTGTTTTTCACCGTGTCGTAAAGGGGGAGGGGAGGACGGAATGGCGAAATAGCATACATCTATGTGGCCGAGTGGGGGGAAGCAATTGATAGGGTGTGGGAAAAATAGAGTGAGCGTGTACGTAAGCCCTCGTAGTGAGCGTCTAGATCGACGTGGCGGTTGATGCAGGTCGTGCTAGAATTCCAAGCCTCAAGGAATGCACGCGCCTGTCTGGTGCTAGCCCTTGTGATCAAATCAGTGGTTCCAAAAATACTCAACTGATTTAATTGCATTTTATAGCCCAAAATTTAATGGATGATTTCAAATATTGATTTATTTGCAGCACCTAGAATGCCTTCTGAATGGGAAACTCCTGTGCTCTGGAGTAACGACCACATCTCAGTGGGGAAAGTGTCGTAAGTGTAATTTTTCAAAATTCAACTGAATAGTTTACTTCATCCTTAATTTGCGAAGCGCAAATCAAGAGTAGTGCGATTACCGCGTGAACTGCCTACCGCACTTTTCTCTCTTTTTCAGAGCTGAGTATTGATAACAAGTCGTACGCCTTCACCTACGTTGCCAAGAGGCCGGTGTCAACAAATATATCCCGATATGTTTGCAGAACGGAGAGCGATAGTCAAACGCAGACGATATACTGGCACGGTAACTGCATATTTTTTATTTCGTGTCAGTAGTACATCCCTAATTATGTGACACCACTATAAACAATGCTTTCAAAAATGAGAGGCTGACATATTTGCTAAGCAATAGTAGAAGCCAATACTGCACATAGTCGGCATTCACTTAAACAAAAAAGTCGAATTTGCCATTTCGTAACTTGAACTGTAGGCGCTTGAACAAATTGCAATTTCACATATTTGCCAGTCCACCACGTAGCCTCTTACCATTTAAAAGACTTAGCATTCGACGAATTATTTAGTAATTTTATCTAATCGATTGTTGGCGAAGCGGAGGTAGGCCGACGATGTGCCAGAAAAACTGTCCGCGAGCGAAGTGGGCGGAACAAGTCCTCAATATTTCTAAGTTCCTCCTCAATACTATCTGCTGAACAAATGTTTTGAATCCTTTGCGCCAAACGCCTGACTCTATTTAGCACTGTGTGGTGAGGTAAGAACCCAGCAATCCTGTCGATTCTATCTCCAACGTGAATTTGATCGATTAATGTGCTCGGTTTACAGCATTTAACAGTAGAGCAACGTCGGTTTCAGCGGTTGCGATCACAAGGATATCATCATCGTGGCGACCGTAATGTTTAAGCTTTTGGATCTGATCGCTTAGTTGAAATCTCCCCAGCTTGCCGACGAGGACGTCTGCTAAGAGAGGTCCAAGAGACGAGCCCATAAGAACGCCATATATTTATCTATGAATTTGGTTGTCAGGGAAGAACTGCACATGTAATGTGCACCTTTGTAATAGTTCCTTGAATGTTTTCGTCGGCATGCCTATTACGTGATGACTGACAGATTTTACCGTCAACCGTCTCGGTGACTGGGACGTTTGTAAAAAGTGATGAAAGTTATTTTGATAGCTGTTTGCTGCCAGCTACTGCTGTATGGGCTTTAGTTTCTCTGCTAAACCCTTTGCTATTGCATGATACGGAGAGTTCCGCACATCTAAAATCAAACGAACTGATAGGCATTCCTTATCGATCTTATGTAGGCCTTATAATCGCCCTACATATGTGGCGACTGAGCCGAGGTGTTTGAGATCACGGTCACTTATGTAACCCCCTGTGTGGTGCCTTCTTGAACAGTCAGTCAACTTTGCCTCTGCTTCACCTGTGCAATCGTGTTCTTCGTCTTCATTTCTGAATTTCTTCAGGTCAGATAATATGGACTGTAGCGTCGTTACGTAGTCCAATATTTTCGCTATAACGACACCTGTTCTTCTGACAGGGGTAGTTACCAAGGTCTGTTTTTTTTCCCAAACTTTTCTTACGTTTTCCATGTGTTGTTTTATCGGCAATCCTCGACATTTGAACCTTTGTTTAGGTACTTATAGCTGCAGTTCAATGTTGTTAATTTAAAATGTAGGATAACGTCAGTGGAAGTGGGCAATAGATCGAGGGCCGGTTCCAGAGGTTTTCGAACTGAGTTTCCAATTCTAACTGATTAAACTTCCGACGAGGTATGCAAAAATTAGGACACAGTGACAAAGCTTTAATTGATGCTTTATCAAGTGGCATATAAAATGGCTTGTGTACGTACGGAGCAGGATCATTCGGAAACCGTGACTGGCGTTTCATCTCATGTAAACTCCTAAGGAGCCCAGAGCGTTCTGCCTCTCCACGTTTTCATTCTAAAGACTGAGTGTAGATGTCGAATTCTTGCCTTTATTCATCTGTCGGCCTATCTTGGACGACTGTGCGTTGACACGGATTGCGCTCAAGTTCCTCTATTTTTAAGAGGATATTTTCCATTTGATTCTCTGCGTGTCCCTTTAGGATATTTGTGATAGTAACTGTAGGACTCCGACGCGACGTTCTCCAATAATGGTTTGGATACACATCTTTCCCAATACGGTCCCCCATAAACTTTTTTCACTCACTGTACACCGTTCCATATTACTGTCTTGGCCTGGCTAGAAGTTGACGAAATCAACGTTCGCTCGCCACCTTTTCTTCTGAATATACCCATTGGAATTTCGTCGACTCTTCTGCTTAGTCGGTGAAAAATGACTTGTTCTCCTAATTTTTTACTTGAAGTAGGGGTTTTCTGAAAGGTTTGTATTGTGAGATATGTTAATACCGTAAAATTCCCGTTCATAAAACGTCACGTCTCTGCATTTCCATGTGTGGCTTGTAAAGTTAACAATATGGCTGAAATCCACTGCTAAATTTTATGAACGCTATATGGTCACTTCTTAATATCGTATAGGAATCTATAGTTTTTGTACCCAGAATGTAGTTTGAAAAACTCGATGTATCCAGTACATGAACAACGATTTCTTCCCTTAAACAGCTACGGCCCGTGCTTCACCTTGATCATTCTGGACTCAGAATTACTCGTCTTGTAGGATGTCTTGAAAATTGCGGTACTCAGAAAGTCCTGCCGATCTACTGACTTATAAATAGCGGAAAGATATTTGTCTACATCGGAGGTTGATTTCTCAGATGAATCGAATTCAACTCCAAAAAAACTTAAACGAAAAACAGAGCAGAAACGACGTGCTGGCGTGAGTAGAGAGTGCTCTTTTCCTCAGCAAATAGTTAAGCTGGCATCTGGCATGTCATCCGCTTTTGAATAAACAGCAGTATTATGGGTGATAAGAGTGCCTTCCTAAGGCATACTTCCTGCGCGAATAAGTCAACAACCGGTCTTTCGGTTTCCTGAAATGTTCTTCACCACAATGCAGACACGGAAAGACGATGAATAAAACACGAAACACGCATGGAGATCGGCAGGTTTGAACTGAATCAGGACTGTTTCACCAACAGACAGTTGCAGGTACTGAACAACTATCTACTACGATGTTGACATTTACCCATACAACTGGTAATATGCGAATGAACTCGCCCAAAAATAGACGTGTTCTTCATATATACTATCCCATGGTAGCTTTATTGAGTCTTCGCACAGATGAACTAGGATTGTCAATGCAATGCCAGTCCTTAACATATGCTTCTGTAAGAGGAAATACTCTACAGCATCCTACAGAAACATAATACTTTAAATGTTGTGTGCAAATCGTGATACGTTCTAGAGCAGGTGTTCATCAAAAGCCCCACTCTAACTGCTTTACGTACGTTTGACATGTCGCATGAAAGTAACCTCTTCTTTGTTCACATAAAAAATCCAGTCTTGATGGCTAGTGTCAGTCTAGGTTATGCCATTGGCTCCTTCGGGCAGAGTCCATTGCAGTACACGAACCGTGACAATCCTAAGACATTTCACAGAGGTCACAGGAGTTCACTTACGGACACCTAACACAGAGTGCTTGGTGGACGTTAGCTTGATATGCATGTCTGCTTAAAAAGGCAAAAGTAAGAACTTGAAGAGGCAGATCACTTGCACATTGCAATGTGCGATGTTCCTCAATAACCATAAATTCCAACCTATCTTTCCACGACTTAGGCGACAATCCTGCTAAGATGTCATTCGGAGGATACGAGATTTCACAGTCTTCTGGCCCATACTCGTTACAAGTGCCAATTTCCAACCAGACTTCAGTAAGACTTGCTTCAATTTCTACAAAGGACATATCAGCAATTTTCTTTCCCATATTACTTTAATGCAATCGGCTAGTTAGTTAACCGAATCTCTCTCATTTCACTGCGTAGGAAGTGACCTTCACCATTGACGAGGACGTATTCATAGCCGCCAACAGCACATGCAAGCTGAATTCATCCATAGTATTTGCATTTTCCTGCCCCGTTGAATGTTGTAAGTCTATCTGACCTTCCATGCATGTTGTCACTGACAGATTAAAACCCAACGTAATGCAGCTACTGAATAAACAAACTTCAAATTCCTGGGAGTTGAAATATAACTTTTGTTGGCTTTTTCCGTCTTTGAAGAACACGTCGTATTGCATCGTGTTTTTTGTTTTAGCTTCCCAACAGTGTCACGTAAACATTGATTTGCCCGAGGTCTCTTTCTTTGAAACTCTCATTGTCAAAGTAAATGAAACACATGAGGATCTCTACACACATGGTAAGCAAAGATGCGGCCGTGGAATGGTTTTATTAAACCTATCATCAAGTTTTAAATTAGTGATTGTCCACTGGAGTATTAACGAAAACATAACCTCCGAAATTAAGCCATTATTCCTATTTGAGATCCACTGAAGATAGTGGCTTTTTCCTAGAGTAAACCAGGAAGCGAACGCTGTCAGCGAAAATTAACAATAACCTTCCTTTTGGAAGTGCCTTCCTCGAGGCCCATAAATGCCCCATAAACGTTCAGTGAATAGAAGTGATAAACCGACTGCTGCCTCAGTTAGCATTTAAAAAATAGCAGAGTTTAATCCACACTTTTCTGTTAAGTAATATTTTGTCAGGCTATAAACTGGAAGTTTGCACTTTGCTGCACGACACACAGCCGCTTGCAAGAGGAAAAGTTGCAACCAAGCATCTGAAATTACATCTGTCTTTTGTACTGTCAAAATCAGTGTAAGATATATATTTGAGCATTGCATGATTTGGCGACAGAAAACGTAAATTGCATGCAGATGAAAGATGACTGATTTCATCCAAAATGTCTCAATGGTACTTTTTGGTTTATTATTGCGTCTTAGATGGGGACTATGATTGCTATAATGAGAGTTGTACCGTCGATACAATAACGATGTTAAAACGTTTTAGATATTTGTCTGGTCTCAAACCAAGTAATAAGAATAATGAACTGACCATTCTCCTGTCATTCCTTTTGCACAGATGCCCCCTCCTTTGACAGTGTGCGCCCGGTTTTTACTCAGGAACGCGGACCATTTATATTTACGACACTTCTGCCAGGCATGCCAAAGGTAAGTAATAAAATCACAGACAATTCTACCAGTCGATTAGAGAAGGCATCTAATATTTGAATTGCACTATCTTTGTTTCGCTTAGTTCGTGTACATTCAGCCGAATTTATTTGACGTGCAAACACAAAACGGCACATGCGTGGTAGTGACAGTTGATGGACCTATCCGTTGTAAAGTTATACAAGGCAAGTTGTTTGGTGTTATTCCTCTATGGTATATTCCATGCCTTATGACCTGCCGCACTGGCAGCCAAAAATACTGGCTAAAACTTGGCATTTAATGTGTGATTTCGGTTGTGTTCCAGTTGTGAAATGAAGACTAGTACGTTGCTCAGAAATCGAGTGCTTACTTGGGATAAATGAGTTAGGATCGGGTGGGCGCTTGTCAGTCACCGCAGAATAACCACGTAATATTCATAAACTCCCAACAGGTCGCTATATTCATATCCATCAGCATTATTACAGAATAATTCGGCTATTTCGGAGGATATGCATAAAAATATCCATTAATTTGCATATGTCGTAAAGGATTCATTTCTTTTAATTTACTCTTTAATGTAGACAATAAGTTAGTTCCATAAAAACCTTTTTCGATTCCCGAATAATTTTGCATCAAAACTGACACAACATGGGCAGTCAGGGTTGACAAACTAGAAACAGTATATTTTTGAGCAAAAAACCATGGTAGAAGGCGCCCACCAGCTCGTTTCTGCGGAACGCACTAGTCTTGTTCCTCCTTGCGGGATCTTTTTCAAATCCAACCAGCAGCCGCTCAGCGGCGCAAGATATAGGCAGGATGGTATTACCCACAAAGACAAGAGAGACTGTCTTTGTCGGTAATACCATTGTGCTACAAAAATTAATACGTTAACTTACGGTATTCAGCGAACACTATGTAGGGTCCACAAAATCTGACAATGATTTTGATCCACATTGCGACCTACACAACAAACATCAGCAAATGCAGGGACACAATGTTTAATGAATGGATATTCCACCATTTGTAAACTCTCATAATTTAAATCTCTTTTAAAATCGAATTATGCCCTTTTGAAGTATAAAATTTAAAGCAGTTATAACTTTTCTTACCTAATTCGCAAACGAATAAATATGTTCATACATGTGTTCGGCGAAATATTTATGAATGTATAACGGTATTTCCTAGGTAATGCTTTGAAGCTGGTTCCTCTGGACATTCTTATGCCGGAGTAAATGTGAAAAACAACAATCGTTACCAACTTGCTGAAAAACCGCTATTCATCTGGGCACTTCAGCTAGAAATTGGCCGCAGTTTGCGTGGTTCTGCATTTTTGACTTTCGTAAATCCCACTTCTTTTTGAGATCATTTGGCATGCTATTTTCCTCAATGGGTTAACTTATGTATGATTCATCGAAATGCATGCCTTCAATACACCTTCGGGTTCTTGCAGAAGATCAAACTCCGACGTTGCAAGTTTTTTTCCCATTCTAATGTGTGCCCAAACTCAAGGGTGCGCAGTACAGTTTGGAACAGGCTGCATCTCGTTTTAGCTGTCAGGTGGTGCTTGTAAATGCCGTGTGAAATCACATTTTGAAAACCGCTCCTCCAGATCTCTGATCCTTGCAAGCCCCGTTATCAGAAACAAATATTTCAGAGATTGCATTCAAACCGCAGTTGCCTCGCATGGCGCGACATTTACGTTAAAGCCCGACGTGATACTGTCATCACATAAGAAGTTCGGTTGCGGACGCGTGAACAATAGATAGCTGTAAAGCAGAAGGACCATCCGATTTTAATGACCGCCCTCTCGTCTTCTCAAGGCAGACGCTAACTGCCGAACTCAATACACCCTCTGTCTAGCAGGATTTTGAAGTCGATTTAGACTATCAGAAGCACGATAGAGGAATGAATTCGATTTCAACAATCACATTCATTCCCACTTGCGGCCGTTGCCTGAGGAAATAATTTCAAGGCTCATTAACAACGTGTTTTGATTTTTGTTTATACAACTGAGTCTTTTTCAAGTATCTCTGAAAGTAAGGCGCAATGATAGGATATATCTTGTTGTTCAACAATTATAAGCGGTTCAGTGTGGCGACTGGAGTTTGAATTAAACGAAAACACATGGAATACGCTGGGGGGCGAATGCGAATTGGAAAAAATCTATCTCCGCGCTGTTTGAACATGCAGCGAAACAAGCCCTACAAAACAAAAGTATCTGAGTTTTTATCTGGTAACTGTTCTACCAGCTTGGATGGATGCTTGCGCAACAGAAGCAATGAAATATTGCATCACATACCTAATGGAATTTTCTGAGACTACATGCACAAAATCAGGACGAATAAAATTAGGAAAACTCCAGAAATGTGTTATCAATCGTAATTCATCAAAGGGGAATAATCAACGTGAAACACTGTGCTTCCGTACTTTGAATTTCCGTAAACATTATCAAAGCGCGTAGTGATTTTAAATGCCACAAATAACCTACCTTCACGTTACCTGCAACAATGAAGAAAAAATGTTCTTTCCCTTTCAGTGGGAAAATACTACCGAATGACGGTGTTTTTCCCTGAGATACAGGGTATTACAGAATTCCGCATTGCGTCTCTTCAGCCAACCCACCAATATGCAAAGTACTGGCTAAATGTTGAACATATTTCCGCCGCATTATTGCCCAATCGTACGTCCCGCGGAGTGCGCAAGAATATATTTGTGTGTTTATATACTACTTCGTCTTACCGTTTCATTTCAGACCTTAATTTCCTTTACTTCTCTGGCCGCAAAAAGTAGGGATCTTGCTGCCACAGAATTGACAGTAGTTAATCCAAAAAGTAGTAAATAAAAATTCGATGCAGAACGGAGATAATTTTGCCATTCTAAACAAGCAACTCGTTTTTACTGATCTCGGCCTCTTTCTGGTCAAAGATTTTTTCCACGTTTTCCAACAGAACATTTCATATTATCTGATGCAATACTTCACTCTTAAAGGAACCTTTGTATATGAAAATGGCAGTCTGTCAAAAAAGTCCGAAATTGAGACAGAGCTGGAACTGGTTTGGCCGCTACAGCAGTTGCCAGTTGCGGTAGATGTTTCTCAGGTGAGTAACAACCGCAAAATTTTCCCTCCGCTTTTCCACACGGTGTACCGGACTGCTCATTATATACTAATGTTACGCATTTGAATATAACATGTGCAGCAATGCCCTCAATTTCCTTTTTTGATGCTTTTATTACATCCGTTAAGAGACTCCTGTGAATTACCTGCAAAACAAAATTCATAGTGGATAAAAATATCCAATGGTTCACATTGGTATGTGGCGACTATTGACAGTGTGAGGTAAATGAAAGAATTTGCCGGAAACATCTTTGAAAACATTTCTCGCCAGCAAAGTGCTGAATGAAGAAAAAGTGTTTTTGGTAGATAAAATTCAAAGTGTTGAGTTGAATGACACAAAGGATTGGTAGATGGACGCTTGCTGATCGTTTCTATGGAAATCTCTTGTCTCGTCGTGTCTTACATGCTCTCTCGATCCCAATCGCCGGCCGCACAGAGGCGCAATGCAGAATGCTATTAGCGACAAAGACCAGGGCCACTGGAATTTTAAGTGCCATTGTATATTCCCGACCGAAGCCGACAGGACAATGAGCCCGTGGCTCATTGATTAGAACCGTTGGACTTCTAACTAAAAGGTCACGAGTTGGTGCCTCAGGCGCTCCACACTTTGGGGTTGGGTTTGACTGTTTGACGACGGCTAATTAGCAAAAAATGGTCATTCTACTCTGCCTTTCTGCCAACAGCAAGCCCTTTAATATGACTGTTGTGTTGCGCTGCTAATGGTTGGTTAATATTTCCATCGGAAACGATAAGGCGACCTCAGTGTACCACGCGAAAGGGGAGGAGAATTGTATCAACATCCAGTGGACAAGCTGAGAATGTTTCAAATAAAAAATTACAACGAAAATCCTAACAGTCTGTTAGGGTTTATGCAAAATGCCTATGATAAACTATGAGTGACCAAATAGGAACAGGTCTTTTTAGAAATTTCGCAGTGTTGGTGTCCACTGTTGGGAACAATAAAATTCCCCAGGTGGTCAGTTGCAATAAAACCACCGACAACGTTGTTGTATATATAACGTTCAGTATCATTTTCTCGTTTGCGGCCCTTGTCTTTTTGAGAAATACAAAGAAGTATTTTGCAGACAGCAAATGATGGTAGAGTGGTCTCCGATTATTGTCTTTTTGTCCAAATTTTAGATTCTTTGCTTCTCAGTTAGCCAGGAGATTTGTGGATATCCACACTCTTGCGGTGGGTTATTTTGTTAAGATATAAGGGATAGTTAATGTAATTACACCGATTTTGTCTTTGAATCACCAAATGCATTGATTTACTCTTCTTTAAAATGATCCAGTTTCGGAAACGGAACACAACCGCCTGGTTATGAGATACAAAACAAAACAAGGAAAAGAAAGAATGTCGTTTTATACCTGCGAATATCGGAAGGATGATCAGTACGACATCGTCTCCTACCGACATCACTGGTCCGGTATGTGTAGCCCCTCAGTCGCTTGCATGATTACTATGCGAAAAGGCTGCAGCAAAGCTGTCAGTGGACAGATCGCGAACCAGCCTAGGCATACGACGCCTGATGCAACTTTATGCTCGAAATATATCTTATCCTTGTAGGTTTGGATGACTTTCGGGGTAAAAACAAAGCGTGGAAATCCGCATCGGCTGTGATGGAACTAAAGTGGATTCTAAATTACAGGGGTTCACCGGAACAACAGGTATGATGTAGCAGTTTCTCTCGATGTGCTTTCAATCTGTGCCGTCGCAGTAGAGAATGTATTAGAGTAAGCTTTACGCGGTTGTAGAGGAATGCTCGTTCGCCGGTTTCGACAAACATATTGTTTATTGTTTGGCGTTGTTTTGGGTAGCATGTCTTTGAATTGCGTGCATAAGCGAAGGAAAAAATGAGAGGAGAACGTAGATTAAGCCGTTTGTTTTGAAAGAGGCACTGCTGATGTAGACTGCAATATTCAATATATTTTAGTCTGCCTGCGGCTGTAGCCATCCTCCGTCTTCTGGGCAATACATGGTGTAAACTTTTAGAAAACCAATGGCGTTTGTAGCACTACACTGATTGAACCATTGTTTTAATTTTCATAGGATATGAATTAATGACCGTAAAGGTCATATTTCGTCGACGGAAACAAATGCTAACCCGGTGAAACAATATCTGTTGAGTACGGCGCGTTGGGTGGGGCTTCTCAGAGAAACAATGTTAGAGTTTTCTCCACTC